GCCAGGATTTTTTTTTAACCTGGGACTCCATATTATTGTAGCTATTATTGGAACCTTGTAGACATGGTCATGGGCCGACCCAGCATGTCGGTTCGACCCAAACCGACACAAGCAGACCCGTTGACCATGGTCTTGAACAAACCCGTGGTTTTGACCAGTTCGGTTCATGTATAATACTTTATAGTTTATACATTTTTAACATACAGTTTTGGCTCCGAACTGGAACCGGAACCTGAGGTTCGTTTTTTTCAAATATTATTCTAATTATTTTGTATTTTTTGATGAACCGGACGACCAGTAATCGACAATTCAATGAATTGACCCGTACATATGTTCGTGTCGGTTCATATATGTTCGCATCAGTTCATGCTCCTCCAACTCTCGACCCGGTATCGACGGTTTCGGCCTGTAACTGGTTTTGGTTATGATTATAAACAAATTATCTGCTAACATATGTCGGTTTGAATTGGAAAAACTCAATCTCGAATCGCTTATATATTTAAACAAGCCAAACTCAAATAGCTAATCGAACTTGTCGATCAAACAAATAAAATCTAACATGTTTGCAATCAACTCTGTACGAGTTTTCTCTTTGTCTAGGAAATGATGTCGAATTAATTATTGGTGGCGAAAGAAAAAAAAATAAATGAAATTGGATAATGGACTGTGGAATGAGAAAAATCGAATTAAATAGCCCGTTGGAAAAGTCTGTGTCAAACTTAATTATCCAGCTCATTTGATATTTGTCAAGTCAACTCATTAAAAATTTAAAGACAAGAGTGTGTTGGGCCACATTATAAACTCAATTGATAAAAATCTAATAAGGTCACAATTGTCATTTGACAATAAAGGATTATCTTTTTTCCTCACTATAATCATCATTTTTCCACCATTGTTGTCAGATAATAAATTTTAACATGAAGATAATCTTGAGTCATTCAGCCCAAAATTAAATGGGGCTATATAAAAAATTACATGGGGCTAATGGGTTTATGTATAAATTTTTTTAGAAAATAAGACTAGCAAAAATAAGAGTAGCAAAAAATTACATGGGGCTGGAGCCCACCCTAGCCTAAGAGTGGCTCCGCCCCTGGTATGTGTTATATTTTAGTACTCTATAACTCGGTACTTTATAGCTCTTTATCATATTCTCATGATTCGCAATTGTACGTGTCAGTATCTGGTGCTTCCAAATACGGAAAGAGTTATGTAGATATGTATTTGTATTCACACATATTAGACTTTTAAAATTACAAAACACTTGCCCAACTTAAATTATAAATATATTTCAAAAATTAGGAACTTTTTATATTGTTATTATATTTTTTATTTTGTAGAATTAAAATATATATTTATTTTAACTAGCACCATCTATGGTGTGTTATTTTTTTGGTAGCCAGCCACAGTTTGGATCTATACCTCGATTAATCCGTTAGTCGACCCGGGTTGCACACCAGGCCGTGGTGGGTGAGTCTCCCAACAAGGGTTTTCTGCATCCACAAGGACTCGAACCCGAGACCTTGCTTAATCGACATCAAACTGCTTACCACTTGAGTCAACCCGTGTTGGTTCTACGGTGTGTTATTCAAGTACAGGATTTGTACCAGTGAGGAGGTAGATTATTCTTGAATTACCTCAGCTGATACCCTTTTGGTCCAATGCAAAGTATCTTTAACAAATATCAGACCATCACATAACTGAACTCAAGCTCGGCGCTCGCACACATATCAATCAATCAATGAATTGCCTTCAGACTCTTCCCAGGTTTCTTGCAATTTTTTTTGTTTTTCTTCTTCATTTCTGTAATAATAATTGAATATCTCCAAATCCTTAAAATCATGATCCTGTCTCTTCTTCCTCTAATTTGTATGTCAATTATGATGCGTTTACCAGATCCTCTGCTTTGCCACTGCAAAGCCTGAGCAGTAATTTTGGGAAGCGTTGGTGCCCTATAGCTTTATTGGTAAGAAAAATGGAAGAAATTAGGTTATATATATTACAGTACTGTTTCATTTTGTTGTTCTTGTACTGTTACTGCTATGTGATTTTTTTTTTTTTAATTTTTTGAATGTTCCCTTTTTGTTGATAATGCGCAGGGGATTGTAAAAGGCGTTGCTTTACCAAGATCATGTGGCGTCGTTGCTAAGGTGTAAGATCTGTGGTATTCTGTAGAAAGGCATTTGCTTAGCAGTTAATCATTTTTGCCTTAGTTGGATTGACTTCTTCATAGAAATTGTTAACTTATACTCTTGTGTTCATCTATCTTGTCTCCGTTTCCCCTTTTGATGAGGTGTTTTTCTTTTTTCCTGAATTCTTGAGAAGATGCAAATTGTCTTCTTAACTCATAAGTTCGTTAGTCCATTGATCAACTGTTGTTGATCGAGATTTTTGTAAATCTCTTATTGCGTTGTTAGTCGGTAGAATTGTTGACTTTTTTTTTTGGATTAGAAGATAGCTGAATGGAATATCTAGTGGTAGTTTTTTTGTTGAATATCAAACAGTCTTTGTTTTGTGAAATATTTGCGCCTGATTAGTGTTGAGATACACAATTTTCAGGCAGTTTCTGGTTCAGCAGCCAGCACAGAAAACGAGCATCCGAAAATGGATGAGAAATCCGAAACATACAGTCATGACATGACTGCAGCTATGGGAGCTGGTATGTGGATTTACTAACACATACTTGTTTTACTTGGAAATATTTTGGACCAACTTTATACTGGATAAAAAGTTTGTAAACAACTATTTGCTGGTTAAACGTTTCACATTGTCTGGCGTTTACTTTTTTTTTTTTCAAATGTTCTTTTGGATCATGAGGTATTTAGTAGATCTAGCCTATTTACCCAGCAGTTCTGCTAGTTCGTGTTTTGCTGACTTATTTGAGCATTTTTTTGCTTTGCTTCTAATTTACTTTCTATTTTTCTTTTTTCTAATAAATTCACAATTTGGCACTTTTGTCTTTCCGGAATGCAGTTTTGACGTATAGGCATGAACTTGGAATGAACTACAACTTCATTCAACCCGACTTGATCGTGGGATCATGCTTACAGGTAATGAGTGTTCCTGACCTGATTTAGGAAATAGTGTCAGTTCTTGATTTCTTCTGAATTTCATTTTACTTGGACTTGTGACAGGCTCCGGAGGATGTTGACAAGCTTCGAAGTATTGGGGTGAAAACAATATTCTGCTTACAACAAGACTCGGATCTTGAGTATCCAAATTTCAGTTTTGAATAACGTGATTTTTGTAAAATCTTCTTAGATCAAATTTTCTTCCGAAAAGAAATAAATAAAAATTAATGGGGGCTATTCTGCTAGTTCCTGATAGCCTTTCTGGCAGATCATGGTTATTTTGTATTCCTTAAGTAAAAGCTGTTCAGGTACTTTGGCGTCGATATTGCTGCCATTCGTGAATATGCCAACAGTTGTGGTGACATTCAGCATCTACGTGCCGAAATTAGGTTAGTGATGTGACCAGACTAACGCGAATAGTTTTTTTTATTATTATTATTATTATTATTATTTTTTTTTCCACTAGTTCTCTTCTTTAAGATGGTATTTTGAGTATAGAATTTGGTGGAGTTTCCCCAACATAAAAATCACTGAAGAAAATGATTGGCTTGGGGTGCATTAACAAAATGATCCTGCCAGTAGTCATATGCTTGTCTCAAAGATTAAGCCATGCATGTGTATGTATGAACTAATTCAGACGGTGAAACTGCGAATGACTCTTTAAATCAGTTATAGTTTGTTTGATGGTACCTACTACTCGGATAACCGTAGTAATTCTATAGCTAATACGTGCAACAAATCCCGACTTCTGTTCACAAACGAAATCTAATTGAGTATATAGACTTGCTTCTAGGTATTTCATTTATAGCATTTCTCTTTCTGCCATGTAAAACAATTTGTCCTCTCTCCTCTCTGTTAATTGTTCACAAAGGGTCCAATTTTTCTTCTTGTG